CTGTTGTTTAAAGTTTTAACACTTTTACTAACCGTGATTTGCAAATCCTTTCTCTTCCCATACACTTTTGTCTACTTTGATATCACTCTTTCTCTACGACTTGTTCTTTATATACTGCTGTGAAGTGGGCCGAATTGAACTGATACACTTGGGCATGAGGTTCTACCTTGATTTTGCCTGTCTGTCACTCAAAAAACGAGACCCCCTGAATATTAATAGTTTGTATTATAAGATCGGTTTTCATCGCTGTTAAACAGCGGACAGCAAAGAGCTTCTTATCATGATTAGCAGTTATATCTCGATAACTGTTAAGCCAGTTCGTCTCTGAAACCAGTCTTAGAATACTCATCACTGAGCTTAACTTTTAATTCTTACGAAGCTGTAGTTCCTCAACGTCTATTTAGATGCGAGAATAGGCGTTCTCGAACCAAAGCATGCTCATCGGTAAAGTACGTGCTCCCGAAGTGACAGTGACCTGCTATGACAACCATATCTGGACGTTTTTCTTTTAGTAGAAGGCAAGATGGTTCCCCGTACAACTCGTTTTCTGCCTCAACAGAACTGGTCATTGGGTAAGTAAGCATAAAATATAAAGAGATAACATGTTTTACCCAGAGAACACTATTTTCCTCTTGGCTGCAGATATGCCTTGCTGATAAGCGTCAGCAAGTACGAAAGCCGGATTCAGGGCTTTTTGTCGACGAGCTCTCAACGTCAAACAATTTGTTTGTTTTCTGTGCGTTGCTCGGTAGGCCAACCCATAGATGGCCGACAATTGAGGCTTAGTCGATTAGATTGCTTTTTGTCTAAGTACTTAACGCTATACATAAGACCACGATTCGGATTGAGTTGCGTTACGTCCATACTTGAAAACTCTTGCCGGTGACAGTAGGAGTCTATAGGGAATATCTAAGTGTTAACACACCTCGCCTACGAGCACCCACTATGAATTGAGATATTTTTACTGATGCTAACTGATTTTAGTTTTATCACTATTCGATAAACGTGTCACATGTTAGGAACTCAAGAAGCAATTGTTGCAATCAGTATAACTTGTTGAGTTATTGTGTCCAACTAATGCGTCAAGGAAGCAGCCATTAGTCAAGTTTACAGAAATAATATTGATTAAGTGACAGAAATAATTAAGCGACAACTGCTCACAAGAACTGGAACATTAGCACAGGCCTCTAACTGAATTGGCATCAAACGACGGAAGAGCTGGTCAGTAAATACTTATTCTCATCAAAATGAAAAGTTTACTTATGAATACGCTACAGATTGTTAGAAATTATTTTACAAAGTGATGATAATGGACTAAAACCGCCTGAAAACCATTAACTGGGCATATATTGATCTGATTACCGACCATCTTATCAAAATGGATGGGTGTTCAAGAGAATAACGAAGAAAAGTAGTCAATTTTTGCCGCTAAACTGATGAAGAGCACCCGTAAATACGCACTTTTAGAATCTGACAAGTTCGCCATCATAGACAGAAATGAAAATAGATACATTACCTGAGTGACTGGTAAGGTAACCAACTTGAAAGAAACACTGAATTAAGTGTTCAAACAACTCAGTCACTGGTTGCATCCAGTGTTCTAAACAATAGTTTGTTGTAGGTTTACATTAGTAGTCAAGCAGAGAAAAGAACACTTGTGGAATTAACTAAGCGCATATGCTGAGGAGAAGTTCATGTGGTACTTTTTCTCAATTTTCCGCAACAGCAGGTTGTACTGAAGAGGTACTACGCAATACTGAAATTGGGGTGCTTATTATCCTAGAGCTATACAGTAAACTGTCAAACGAACACTTCACAGTAAATAAAGAGAAACTGGAAAGCTTTAGTTCAGTACCCCATCGCACTGACAATCGTGTTTTATCTCCCATTTAGAAATAATACAGTGTTGGCGGTAGGAACCTGTCTTTCCTAACCTTTATCCGTAAGGTGTACTTGTAGACTAGATTTGCTAAGGCAGTACCAATTTCTCTAAGTTATCAGATACTTTAGCTGATAGGTATTATTAGGCAATAAACTTAAGTCCTGTGTTTCCTGCTGTCTCAAACTACCCAAAAATAAATTATATACCCTCAAGCGTTAAATCACTCGACCATATGTCCAACATAATCAGGTAAGTGCTGAAGACTGGATATAGTAACATCGTTTACTACATAGGTAATAATCATCACACTGACGCAGTATTGGTAATGAACATCAGGCCAACGGTGAAAACCAGTTAATACTTACATAGGAAAGCGTCTAACCATTTGAAGTGTTCATAACTATTAGTCTTACCAAATCTCTCAGAGAGTGGTATACGACCAATATGTGAATGGTGCTGTATGCTTTATAAACTTGGATCCTGAAAAAATGCTGTGTTAGAAGTAACGCCTACCAGTTGACCGACTCAGAAATAGATGAATACAAAGACCTCTTAAGCGACTATAGGAAACCTTTTGGTTTTACGTACTCAAACCGATGAATCGACAATAGGTCATCTCTTGGAGGTCTAACTAAATGAAGCCTAATAGGCAAGTAAACCTGGCATCCAAATTCAAGATGGAAAGGAAAACATTTGGTCACTGCAATATATTTGTTTATACCCTGCGCAAATACCGGTTCGGCTAATGCTGATATGCAGCAACATTCTCATTGCAGATTTTGAAGAGGCGAAAAAACTTCAGTAATGATTGTGTAGAAGCATGCTAGCCCAAGTTTCTGAAAACCACTGCCCTAAGACATAGATGGTTCAAATGGTTATTGATGGGAAAGAAGAAACTTTCGCTTAACTGGCCTCCGCTTCTAGAATCCGTGGATCATTAGTTCCTGTGGTTGTTAACCTATGCACAACTAAAGAGAGAGCAAAACAGCGAGCGACTAAAAGTTAAAAATTAATTTATTTCTGAGTAGATCCCACTCACATCTCAAGTGTCAAACCGGTATTTAAAGCATTCAGATGAAGTAGTCTGGGTCACTTCCGCAGAAAGAGCATCCTAGGGTTAAAAACTCCTAGAGAATAGTTTTATCTGGTATCTAACTTGGTATATTCTAGGCTTCGTTTCTGCACGCGACCTCTAAGATTGGTGCTGCAACTAAGATTTAATAGGTGACGAAGTGAGTGTTCAACATGTTTTGAGCCATTATCAGGTCCCCTCTTAGTCTTCTATCTTCCAGTGGATATAGATCAAGTGCAACCCATCGTTTTTCATGTTTTGGACCCAAGTCCTTGAACAGATTTGATCGAGCGAAGCTGGATGCAGACGAGGGGCGGAAGACGATAGTCACGAACTCTGGGTGAGGCCATATTAAGCTGTTGAAAAGTTGGTGAGGAAATCTACGAAACAGTTGTACGAAAATTCTTCTGACGGTTACTAACACTAAGTTCCCACGAAATGTGTTTCTGTAACAGTTGGCATGAGTTTTTATGTCTTAAGGGACTAGAACGCCCAAATCCTTCTCCGTCAGTGACGCTTCAAGCTCCATGTCGTTGAGGCCATATACAATGACATGAATCGTGTTTTACGTGTAACACCTTGGACTTTTCAGGATTAAGTGTGTCCATCATTAAAGTTGGATTACGTCTTGGTTGTATTGTGTTCTCTGGGCTCGGAGAACACAATACAACCAAGACCATTCACCTGAGCTACAAATATTCTTCATTATTTCAAAATCATACGAGCGTAACACGCTTCCCATTGGGTTAAGTCTTCCTACAGAGAAACACAGTCGTCCTCACTTTTGATTTCTCTCCATAGTTTCCTTTCATTGGGAAGAGAAGTTTCAGAAGAAACTTGTTGAGGCAAGTTGTTTACGTGTACTAGAAAAAGAGGGCCTAGTACTGAATCATGAGGAACTCCATCAGGACATTTTGTTTCTTCAGACAGAGAAGCTTACTTGAACTCTAAATAAACGACTTTGTAGATATGAGGACAACCAGTCGATGAGTGGTGGTCTGATCCTGATTAGTTCTAATTTATCAATAAGGCGGTCGTGATTAACATGATCAGTTGCCCTAACAAAGTCTAGACAATTAACTTCAATTCGACATCGATGATCGACATTACTAGTCTGTCTATCTACTGCGGCAAGTAAGTTAGTAATGTAGGAGTACCCTTTTCTAAATCCGTGTTGTTGGGGCGTAAAAAGGCTAATCGTCTTAAGGTGATCTCTCATTTTATCGTAAATTAACAATCCCATTACATTGGAAAGTATGGATAAGAGCGTCACCGGCTTGTATTTCCTCGGGTTGCTTCATTGACTTTTGAAGATTGGGGTTACGTGGCCTAACTTCCAAAGATTGGGTACTTTTCCTTCACTTAGAGAATCCTTAAATAATATACTTGAAGGTTCAGCCAAGACCGACGACTCTTCCCGCGTAGATTTTATCTGGTCCCGGAGAGGGATTTTTTATGAACATGAGCAGTTCTCGCTATACTAGCTCAACGCCTGAGAGTCCTACTTCGTTAATAGGATAAACGTAAACTTCTGAGTAGAACGACGATGAGATTTGCAAGTACTGATCTGTTAGGAGTTCGGCTGCTCACTGTCGCTACTAGTCAGCCTGTTGGGCCCTAGTAGTTGAGAAACTCCCGCTTTAGCCTGGGAGAACGATATAGCATAGAGGAACATAATTCTTGGGTTAGAAACGAACATATCTGTGAGCCTAACTTGATGGCTTTTCCGATCGACTCTCAATGCCTTCATGCAAGTGTTCGTCGTCTGTTTGAATAGTCTGTATGTGTTGTCGGAAACATTTCTTTTTTGTTCACTTCAACTTTAATAAAACTCAACCAAGCTTGGGACCTAGGTAAGCTCTCAGTATCCTAGTGAAAACAGAAATACATATAAAAATGGAGTACACTCATCAACCTTAAAGCTCGAAAGGAATACTTTTACTGAAAAGCAGAGCTTCAGTTGAACTAATGAACAGCAAAGGGTAAAATATCAAATCAAAGTAAGACGATACCTCCTTCAAAACGCTTAGGTCAGAATAAACAAGGTACACAATGTTGTTACTTTATTAAAAGAGGGAAAGCATACCCCTGGCTTTTTGATAGTCACGTTATATACCCTAACACCAACAATATAGAAGCTGCAGATAAGACAGGAAGTTATGGTCGTTACAATATTATAGTAACTACGGTGCGACCATGATGTAAATACACATTTACTGATTTCATGATGATTTCTTTGTCTCAATTATGAGAGGACCCACGTTGTCCCCAGTTTCCTCGTTGTGTTTGTTATGGGCCCCATCACAATAGGGAAACTAAAGAATAATAAGATAACAAAAAATATACCTTAGTCGACCTCCAGCACCGACAGTAGACTTTCTTATCCGTTATTGATTCAATGTCAACCACATCAACACACTTAGTTATATGTTTTTTTACGGCATAGTTAATAGGTGTTTTCCTCTTTCCAAGATGAAGTAATGCAGTAGTGTATACAGCATAACCAACAGCGCCACTCAAAGAGCCGAAAGCAGTAAGTGCTATGATATCCTTGACTGTAAACAATGAAAGTAACAGTTTAATAGCTCACATGAAAGTCGGAAAATGTCTCCGAATGACTTAGGTATCGGTACTGAACGTAGCATGTCTGGTACAAATTCACAAACAACTGTATGCAGAATATTCATGCTGGGAAACGAAAACCCGTAAACTAAATGTCCACCAAGGTCACTAGTGTGAAGCAGTATGAGTAAAGGCAACTCCAACTTTCAATTAACCTCCGAATTTTCAAACAACTTTCAGTTCTATGGTTTGAGAAATGAGAGATTAACCTAACCACGTTAATCACTTTCGAGTGGATTTTCTGTGGTCTCAGAACTGGGCAGTTATGTGCCACAAACTTAATGACCGTTTGGGACAATAATTAACTAGTTCACGTTATCTTTTTGTAATTAGCCAAATGCTTTAGGTAGGGGTCCAAATCCCCACCATTCTTTGTAAACTTGCAAAAGTGGGTGTCACTGAACCACTCATAGGAGGGTTTTTTAAGATATCCAGGCGACATGGAATTCGATATTAAAGTAAGCAGAATTAGATTGGCCTGGAGGATTGTAAGAACAGGGGTTTCTCAAGAAATGATACTTGGGTCCACCCATAAATCACCTCCCCACTAGAATCTCCTCACCCGTCCTCCTATTTACCAACATTAAAATGTGGGAGACAACAGATAGGCAAGTGGACCCTAGAATATTTCAAAACGATCTGCTGCGGTCGCTTGGGTGTGGTCTAACTTTTGACGCGAGGAATTGCAAAATGATGTATGTTCGCACTTCGGAAGCTATAAAAACCAGCTACACCTTCAACAATTCTGAAATTACTATGGTATAGGCAGGGAAGGACCTAATAGTAAAACTCTGTGACATACCAGGTATTTGCATCAACCATGAGGGAATATTAGAAAAGGGGAGCACCGTCGTGCAATTCCTAGGAAGGCAGCCTGGAGACCTAACGCCTGAACTATTTCCCAAAGTATTCAGAACCTGTGTTGAACTCCACTTGAGGGTTTTCATCACAACGGCCTCTTATCGACTGAGGAGAGACACCAGTACTGTTGAGAAGGTGTGGAGAAAGGTGAGTTTATTTATCATACAGGCAGACCAAACATATGCGCAACTCCGCAGACCACTCAGCCTATTCACCTTAAGTTGAAAGAGGAAAAGAGGCGGTAAAATAGCAGCCCATAAGATTATCCACTAAGCGGACCACCCCAACTGGATGACATTGCCAATCCGAAACCGACAGTCTAGCTCAGGCCACATTCCCATACCCTGGCAGAGGATGAGCTGGAGGGCGAGATTCAACTTCCCACAATGAGTATGGGGCTTACTGAACTGTCTGCCGAAGGAGGCAGCCGCACGAACATCAGTTAGACGTTCAGACGATGCTCGACAAGTACATGAGCGTTAACAGCTTGCCACTAGCATTCGCCGGCATACTCATCCATCCCTGTACTTCTCAACCCCAATATCTGAAATACGACCCATTCCTTCTGCATGTTATTGCACCTAATTTTCTGCACATACCATTCACTCCTCTTCTCTCATCCTGCACCCAACCTGTCCCTCGCACTACATTTTAAATAACGCTGAATACTTGCTTGAAGGTACTTGCAGAAAAAATAATTGAAGGAGGTTAGTCAATTTCATCAGTAGCTCTGTTACCCCTACAACCAAACCATCCTACAGTTCTGTGGGGAAACCCCTCATATAGAAGGTCACTACCAAAACAATAAGCCACAAGACTTTTGGGGCCGTCAAAGGAGCATTGCGAAACAACAATGATCGATCCTCAAGACCCAGAAGTGAATAATGGACGTCTAGCCCCAGGTCAGGTAATTCAGTAACGGGAGTACTGAGTACTAGCGTGGTGGGATAGTGGTGTATTGGATGGACGATTTATGGGTAGTATCCACCATCCTTGTATGACATGGTAGTCACTGGCTGAAAGGTCAGCTTATACGAGAACAATTGTTATTGTTGAGATCCGTTGCAGCCCAACATTTCAGGCTGATGATTTCATAACAGCGCGAATCAGTGGTTGTGGCAGAAATAGCTTCTTTACCGTTGAAGGGGATTGCAGTGCAACTAGCACAAACTAGTTTAAAACGTTCCGGATGGGACTGCTTCGTTAAATAGGTGGAAGGCTACTTCCCATTATGTAGGGTACTCTGTCATGGCACTGTTGGACTGTTACACTTACTGGTTCAAGCGAGGGCTTTCTTCGCTAGATCTTATGTTAATATACGAGGTGGACGGCATGTCCATATTAATATACTGCCATTGTTATCAAACTGTGAACACTCGGTGCTCGCATTCAGGTTTAAAGTTCGTGATTCTTTTCAACCTCCTGGGCCAACGTGAGGGCTGCAGGAGACGATACTTGATCGATAAGTTGGTCTGTTGGTGTTAGCTGCCGCACTGGTCATACTTGGAGTAAATTCAAAACTTTCACATGCCGTCACAAACATTGGTCATCCCCGTATGGGCCTAACAACTGTTTACCACAGACAACTTGGTTGACGAAGGAGGCCCTCCTTCGGAAAGAGAATATCGCGGAGTCTCTTCACCACAACAGGTTTTGGTGGGTTTGAACTTAGGTATTGTGGGGTAGTGAATTCCTGTAAAAACCAGGTCTGAGAGCCAGGTTGACGTGCGAGAAGAAGCTTGTCTGGGATTTCAGCACTGTGGTAAAGGGTCAGGCTTTCTCATCAAGAGGAGAACCATGACGAACGAAGACATTCCAACCCTTCTGCTGTGCGAGGATTCGGCACAAGCAGCCGGTAATGATACGACAAAATTTGAGGACTCAAGGAAATAATCCAGCTAAATATTCGCTGGCCTTTCGTATTCGTTGCCGAAAACCGTTTTCACTGGAGACTTGACACAAGCGGAAACTGTGTTTATTATGGAGATTTTCCCATGGCCAATTCGGAACCTCAACCCAAACCATTCTTGTGGTCCAAATGGGCTACATTAGCGCAAATTACAACCACTGGCTGACATCCTCACAGAACCAATTTTTTAGCAGCCCGAAATTTCAGGGAATTAAATGGCATCCCTCGGGGTCTGAAGAATTGTAGGTATAAAATAGCCTTGGGCATTCAGTGGTTAGTTATCGTATGACAAGGCCGTCTAGATACGTAGGTAATCGTTCACAAGGTGCGCACTCAGTGTCGTTCTGTTACATAAAAAAGCGGAAAGCACCTTCTATATGGAATGACAAGGGCTTATCGTGCTTCTATGCCTAGCAAACCTCACCACAGAAGGGGGCAATGAACCGCTCCGAATGATAAAAATGTCTAGGAATTGATCATTTGCGAACTACAGAGATACAGGGCCCAGTCGCACTTGTAATCAGCCGTCGATTGCAAGACCAAGAGAGAACGCAATACAGTAACCCAGTAGAATAAGATATTTGATACAGCGCCCCAAAATGCCGATGCATTCTGACCCGTCGGCCGAAGGATCATGTACGAACAGCGCAACGTAACACGACGCTGTTTCGAACAGGCATGAATGCTTGAAAGCTTGCCTTCAGCCTAGCAAGTTTGTTAAAACTATGAGGGTCTGCGCCAATGTTGGATATTGTCGAACTCTAGGCTGTTGATTTGAAGTTGTTCGCCACTACGACTCAATCGCCCCCAGTGAGTTTGTGAGACTCTAGGGAGGTATCAGCCGGAAGCAAAAACCTGGTGGTTTTGCCAGTAAAACTCTTTCGACGGGCTCAGCTTGAGGAGTGGGCTTCGTCTGTCTTAACCTCTACAGTGCTGTTGAAAAAGATATAAAGATGAATCAAACGGCACTTTGATTGCGATCTCCGTTCAGTGCGTGTCGCATCTGGTGTGGAAACAAAAGCACTTAGTGTTGTGAAAATTAATTCACGTAGTGGGAAGCATTTGTTTTCTGCACGTAGAAAAGGCAAATAAAAGGATTGAATTTTGCTTCTATTTGTATGAAAAATGTATGACAGCTTCCTGGTAAAAGGGCGATTGCATTGGGGTTAAACTTGAGAAACCTTTCACATTTCCAGTACAGACGGAGTCAAGAGAAACAATTTTGGATGATAAAAATCGGTCGCACACATTTGCGCATGATAGTCATTTTGGTGTGTTTTAAATGTACCGAGAATCTAACAGCTCTGTCTCAGCATGTGTTCCCTTGCGCTGACGATAATCGTACGCCTTCTTTTGCCAGATGGGTCGTTGAGAAACTCGGTAATTTTATCTTCCAGCAGTTGGCTGCAGGAAAGCACAGGACCGTAGTTGGACGTTGCTTTGACTCTGGGCCATTGGTAACTACTCCCTGGACGCTAGTCGCTGCTATCCTTTAGAGAAACCCAATGCGACGGAGGTGCCCAAGGACTATTCGGTGGTCACACAATACCCAGTTCAAGTGTGTTACCTGATTCGCGCGTAAGTTTTCTACGTATACGAGGGGACAGATGGCACGTTTCGGGTGCCACCGGTAGAATTGTGTTTGTGACATGAGGTTTGACATTGTTATTGTGAACATTGTGGTGCGGGTTGGTTGTTTCATCTCTGGATCTTTTGCCAACACTGTCTGATGCGGCGAGCCAAGTGGGTGTATCGTCCTAAACATAGCTAAACTCGGACTGAGGCGGGTGGTTTTGACAGCGGATAACTTCACGGTGTTATCGATCAGCGGTCGTCAACGGACATCTGCAAGTAGGTTGTAATGCTTCAGTAAGTCTATGCGGGTGATGGGCATAGAAATATCGAGTGACTAGGTTTACATAGACCCAATTTGAGTTGGACGTACCTTTCGTAAAAGCTGTAGTGGCCCCGTCGTTGGACGCCTACGAACTAAAGGCCTGGGAAACGATGACGTTCGTTTATGGTTGCAGGAAAGACGGTAAATTTCACAGCAGTGTTGACAAGGTGGTGAACTTTCATTTTCGTGTCAGCACCGCATAACAAACGGTTAATTCTACCTACCATGGTCACCGTTAACGTGTGCCGATCGGGCAGCCTCCCAATTTTGCAGTCTGCTGAAAGTGCACGTTTTTCGACAATTTTTGGATTCCTCGTCGAAGGTGTCGTTCAACTAACATCATTTTTAGTATCCGCTCCGCAGTAGCTACCTGTTGGATGGCCAAATGAATTGCCCTGATGAGTTTGAATACGTCGCTGTCGCTCTGTATGCCACGACCTGAGCCACTGAGTTCGTAGAAGTTGCTCAACAAAGTTGCAGAGCCCTAACACTCCTGAATCCTGGCCCTTAGGTGTTCCGTGAGCAGGACATAACTTAAGGGCGCGTTCAAAGAAGATCTCAGTTATTTCGCAGTTGTGATCGTGTGATAGCAATAAGCCGAAAGTAA